AAATTACCTAGAGGAAAGCTCTAAGTTGGTGTATTAAGAGAAAAAATGACTAATTTGGCTATATTCTCCGTGGGTTTTTTTCTTTTCTTTTTTTTTTTTTTTTTTTCGGTGTTATCTCACCTCTGTTGCCCAGGCTGGAGTGCAGTGGTATGATCTTGGCTCACTGCAATCTCTGCCTCCCAGGTTCAAGCGATTCTCCTGCCTCAGCCTCACAAATAGCTGGGATTACAGGTGCATGCCACCACGCCCAGCTAATTTTTGTATTTTCAGTAGAGAGATGGGGTTTCACCATGTTGGCCAGGCTGTTCATGAACTCCTGACCTCAAGTGATCCGCCCACCTTGGCCTACCAAAGTGCTGGGATTACAGGCATGAGCCACTGCGCCTGGCCTCTCTGTGGGTTTTTTGAACCAATACATAGCTATATTATATTTTTGATTTGAATATAATCAAGATCTATACTTTCACTAAAATGTCCCAGAAATTTTTATTTACTTATAGGCAACCATTCAAAATAGAAATAGAATGCTGAATGAAGCAGAGGGGTACAGTATATGAGAAGATCAAGCAATTTTAAGTTAGAAGAAAAGGCTGTAAACCTGGCTTTGGTCCTTAAGACCCTGTAAGAGATGAGCAAGTTATTTTGTGAAGGGCAACATTGGAGGAGGCAGAACAAACAGAGGAGGAGAAAAGGACCTTAATAAAATTCAAAGTAAAATTGGGAGGTTGTGGGTAAAATTTCATAACTAGATGTAAAAATCACAAGTGGGAACATGTCAGAGTCATTCAAAAAGTAGATACATTTGTGGAAGTGTGTGTGTGTGCCTATGTGTATGTTTAACCTGCCTGGCATGTTGAACTGGTTATGATTTTTGAAATTTTAAATTAAGATCTTCTAAATCTCCTGGGAATTTAAAATGCTTAAAGATTGATAAATGGTGTCTCAGATAAAGAGAAGGAGCAAATGTCAGTGCTACGATTATACACAGCTACTGTAAATGAGTGGCTTGATTGCTTGACTGCAAATACAGCACACTAATTTTCCTAAACTCAATCTGCAAAATGGTTACGTGTCACTATTCCCAATGCCCAGTTTTGCCGAACACTTGGATAATAAAGAAAAATTTTTGCTACGATTTTAAATTTTTCCCTTAAGAAGTGGCATAACACTACTATAAAGTATCTGAGGTCTGTCCAGTGAGACTAGTTTAAATATAGTTGGAGTAAAATGGAAATCAATTCAGTTATGATAAACTTCTATTTCTAGACTTGCACTCTCTTCTTAATATAATAAACATAGTATGCAATTCTAAACCTGGGAACAAAGTCCTCTTTATTGAAAGAAGAGTAAATATGTCTGCAAATCTCAAATGAGATACACAACTAAGCATTAATTGCAAAAAATAAAAATTTAAAAAAAAAAGGTCCCACGGGACCAAACACCAATATTTGGAAGGAGTCTTTGTGGTTTGGGAAAATTGAAACAGGCACAGTCTTTTGTCTCTAGGAACCCCATATGGATCGCACTGCCTGTGTGCAAAGTTGCAGGGTGGGGACCATGTGCTGTTTATCATTTTATTCCCGGCACTTAGCAGAGGGCCTGGCACAAAATAAGCACTCAATAAAATGCTTGTGGAAAGAAAGAATTCTACAGCTATAGTTTATACAGTGTTTTTCCAACTTTAAAAGATATGGCCCACAGTAAAAATCACATTTTATACCAACTCCTGGTACACTCAGATACACACACATGCATAACACAAAAGTTATGAAACAGCACTTTCTTTAATACAGTAGGTGTGTTCTGATTATTTCTGTCCTTTTTGCTTGACTAAAAAATACTGGTTATGACTGAATAAATAGATTTTATAACCTACTAATAGATCAAGATTTGCAATTTGAAAAATAGACATATTATTTCAGTTTACATTACTTCTTACATTTATACACTTCACTACCCATAGGTCTCCTTAAAAAAAAAAAAAAAAATCACAAAATTTTTGATCCAGAGGGAATTTAGAAAATATTCAGCTCAACTCTAAAGTTTTGCACCACTTATGAGTTCACTATTGTGGGGTTCCCCTTAGTCACCGCTACTGAATTTTCCCACCAAAAAACAGATTGGCCCCCATCTCACATCATATACAAAATTTAACTCAACATGAATTTAAAAACCTAAAGGTAAGAACTAAACCTTTAAAACTCTTAAAATAAATATTAGGAGCAAATTTCATGACTTTGGGTTAGTCACCAATATGACACCAAAAGAAAAAACAGGTAAACTGGACTTCATCAAAATTAAAAACTCAAATGACAACATCAAGAAAGTAAAAAGAACCAAGCACGGTGGTGGCATCCCCTGTAATTCCAACTATTCAGGAGGCTGAGGCAGGAAGATCACTTGAGCCCTAAAGTTTAAGACCAACCTAGGCAACATAGCGAGACCTCAGTTTTAAAAAAAAAAAAAATAATTTTTTAAAAATGTAAAAAGACAACTTACAGCCTGGGAGAATATATTGGCAGATCATGTATCTGATTAGAGACTTGTATATAGAATATATAAATAAATAACCCTTACAACTCAACAATAGAAAGAAAAATAATCCAATTTAAAAACAGGGAAAGGATTTAAGTAGACTTTTCTTCAAAAAAGATAAATGGCCAATGAACACATGAAAAGACGCTCAACAGGATAGTCACTAGGGCAATGCAAATCAAAACTATGAGATACCAGCTCGGGCAACATAGTGAGACTCCGTCTCTACAAAAGAATACAAAAATTAGGTGTGGTGGCATGCACCTGTAGTCCCAGCCACTTGGGAGGTTGAGGTGGGAGGATAGCTTTAGCCCAGGAATTTGAGGCTGCAGTGAACTGTGATTGCACCACTGCACTCCAGCCTGGGTGACAAAGCAATACCTTCTCTCAAAACAAACAAACAAAACCCCATGTGCTATCACTTCATACCCTTTAGGTTGGCTAAAATTAAAAAGACTATAGCAAGTGTTGACAAGGATGTGGAAAAACTGGAATCCTGACACATTGCTGGTGGGACTGTAAAATGGTGTGACCACTTTGGAAAACAGACTGGCAGTTCCTCAAAAACATCGAGTTACCTTGTGATCCTGCAGTTCTGTCCCTAGGTATATACTCACGAGAAATAAAAACATATGTCCACAAGTAACCTTGCACATGAATGCTCACAGCAGCATTATTCATAATAGCCCATAAAAATAGAAACAAGCTATATTCATCAATTCATGGGATGAATAAACAAAATGTGGTATATCTGTATAATGGAATATTGACCATAAAAAGGAATGAAATATTAATATGAGCTATAACATGGATGAGCCTCACAAATACTATGCTAAGTGAAAGAAAAAAGTCACAAAGGACTTCATATGATATGATTCTATTTATATGAATTGTCCAGAATAGGAATGACTGTTAATGGAGAGGAGGTTCCTTTTTGGAGTGATAAAAATGTTCTAAGGGTAGATTTGGTGATGATGGCACAACTCTGTCAATAAGCTAAAACTCATTGAATTGTACGTTTTATTTATTTATTTATTTTTGAGATGGAGTCTTGCTCTGGTGCCCAGGCTGAAGTGCAGTGGCACAATCTTGGCTTGTAACCTCTGCCTCCCAGGTTCAAGCAATTCTATTGCCTCAGCCTCCCGAGTAACTGAGATTACAGGCGTGTGCCACTACGCCCGGCTAATTTTTACATTTCTTAGTAAAGACAGAGTTTCACCATGTTGGCCAGGCTGGTCTTGAACTCCAGACCTCAAGTGATCCACCTGCCTTGGCCTCCCAAAATGCTGGGATTATATGCGTGAGCCACCATACCCGGCCTGAATTGTACATTTTACTTGTATGGTATTTAAATTTTAGATTATGTTAATTATTCCTCAATAAAGCTGTAATTTTAAAAAGCAGGCTGGGCGCAGTGGCTGGTGCCTGTCATCCCAGCACTTTGGGAAGCTGAGGCAGAAGGATCACTTGAGGCCAGGAGTTTCAGACTAGTCTAGGCAACATATCAAGACACCATCTCTATTAAAAATAAAAATTTAAAAAAAATTAGCCAGGCGTGGTGGTGTGCACCTGTAGTCCCTGCTACTTGGAATACTGGGGTGGGAGGATCCCTCGAGCCCGGGAAGTCGAGGCTTAAGTGAGCCGTGATTACGCCACGGCACTCCAGCCTGGGAGACACAGCAACACCCTGTCTCATAGAAGGAAGAAAGAAAGAAAAGAAAAAGAAAGGAAGAAAGACCAAAAAAAGCAGATTGGAACTCTGAAATGAACAAGAAGTAGGACGCACGCAGCACTTCCACCTGAGCGTAGACTGTGGATCCCCGTCAACCTAACTACCTAAATCACAGGCTAAGAAATGGTCTTTCAGTGGTCAGTCCCTGTAAGATCTGTGGCTCGCTGCTTCTTATCTTAGGGGCTGTGGAGGAAGGACATGAGTCTGTTGATTTAATTTCTGAATCTTTTCCCTTGTGATACCCATCCTTACAAAACTTTGCTCCAACTACAAACGAGGACCTTCTGTACCACAGAAGGTGTGTAACCACAATGAAGCTAGAAAGAAATGGAGAGTACCCCAGCACATAGTCCATAAGCTTCCTGAAGTGGGGGCCCTCAGGCATCGCTGCCTCCCCAAAGAGGGTCAGTCCCAGAACAGTATGCTCCAGAAATACGACTGGAAAAAGGGAAAGAGGAGCCTCAAGTCCAGGAGACCAGCGGCTTTCTGAACACACACCTGCCAACCCACTTTGGACAGGTCATGATGGAGACTGTGGCAGGAAAAGAAACGGTCACTATCGACCCAACACATGAGAAACTGTTTCTTATGTCTCACGTCCCCACTCGGTCCCACCCATGTTTTCTGAGTCCCTCGGTGTCAGAAACACTGCTAAGAAATTTAAGAAATTCTGTTAATGAGTTTAAGAAATGTTTTTAATGATTAAAACTCAGTGACTTGTGAAGAACCATGTAACTTACAAATGCAAGGAACTCTGAAAGTGTGCAGTACCACCGGGTCAGAAGAGAAAACCGAGGGACCCGAAATATGCTTTAATTAAATTTTCTTTGAAAATGTCACTGGAAAGATCATCTTGGGAAGACAGCCTGGCTGACCGCCGTGTGAAGGGCAAGCCACTCTGGCCGAGAGGAAGCCCCACACCTAGGCTCTCCCCAAACCGGCCCCTGCCGGGGCATCCCCCTAAGCTTCGGGTCCCTCCTCGGAAATGGGACCCTCTCTGGGCCGCCTCCCAGCGGTGGTAGCGGGAGCAAACGACACCAGGTAGCTGGCGCCGCGCACAGAGTGGACGCGGGAAAGCCGGTGGCTCCCGCC